CACTGAGCCACACCCCAGCCCCTCACTGGGGGATTCTAAGCAGGTGCTCTACCACTGAGTCACACCCCAGCCCCTCACTGGGGGACTCTGTGCACACACTCTACCACTGAGCCACACCCCTAGTCATAGATGCATTTTTTGAACCATGTGGTAGTTTTATTATTTTATTTTTATTTATTCTTTTCTCACACAATACCTCCCAACTGCATTCTCCCTTCCGTCCCCTCCTTCCAGTACCCCCCACCTCCCCTTTTCCCCAGATCCACTCCTCCTCCTTTTCCTTTCAGAAAAGAGCAGGCCTCCCAGGGATATCAACTAAACGCGGCATAACAAGCTACAATAAGACCAGGCACAAACCCTCATATAAAGGCTGGAGGCAATTTTTTCAAATACTCTCATCCATACTTGGTTGGCTTAGTAGATCTGGGACCTGCAAGTAGGAGAGCAAATGTAAACCATTCCCACAGGAAGCTGAGCCTTTCTCTCACCACCCGGGTCCCCACTTCCTTTCTCTCCTGCAGGCGGGCAAGGCCTGGATCTCTAGTGGCTGCACCCAGAGCTGTGCCTGCGAGAGTGGGGACATTCAGTGCCGGGACTTCAGCTGCCCGTCGGGCACCCACTGCCAGCACAATGAAGACGGCAGCAGCAGCTGTGCAGCCAACAGTAGGGAGCCGTGGGGAAGGGGAGTGGAGAGGGTGCCCTGGTGGCTGAGGGAATCGGGCAGGGCCCCTGGCCTAGGGGAGGGGAGGGATTCTGGGAGACCAGTAACTGGACTGAGGTCCTTTTCGGTATTCACACTTCTTGACAGAATTGGAAAAGTGTACCATCTTTGGGGACCCCTATTACCACACTTTTGATGGCTTGAGCTACCGCTTCCTGGGCCGGATGAACTACTACCTCATCAAGACAGTGGACAAGCTCCCAGAGGGGGTGGAGCACCTGGTCATAGAGGGGCGCAACAAAGTGACCTCCACAGAGAGTCCGACTTTGCACGAAGTGACCACCATCGTCTATGGCTATAAAATCCAGCTCCAAGAAGGGCTTCTAGTTTTGGTGAGTAAGGGGCAGGACCAGACCTGAAGGAGCCACCTGGAGGGGCAAAGCCAGAGCGCCCCATTGTCGGGAAGTTTCCAGGGGTGCAGACTGCTCTTAGAAGTCCGAGTTGGTGTCACTTCATGGAGAAAGGTTGGCACAGGGCAGTGGCTGAACAAAGGCTGAGAGGGGTGAAGGGAAGCGAGGGGTGGTGATGCACACGTGAGCATGGAGCTGAAGCAGCCACAGTTCTGGTTTAAAAAACAGCTTCCTTTTACACGTCTTTAATTTTTAATATTTGTTTACTTAAATATTCATTTATTATTTACTTATATACTTGCGTGTGTGTTAGATAAGTATATCTCACATATGTATGAGTACCCACAGAGGTCAGAAGGTGTCATGGACCCTGGAGCTAGAGTTATAGGTAGTTGTGAGCAGTCCAGCAAGGATGCTGGAAACCAAATGCAGGTCCTCTGGAGGAGCAATGACCACTGTCAACCAATGGGCCATCTCTCTCTCACTTACTTATTTACTGTATATGCACATGCATGGGCATGCATTGCCGTGGTGCATGTGTGGAGGTCAGAAGACAACTTAGAAGAGTCTCCGTTCACCATGTGGGTCCTCAAAATGGAACTCAGGTCCTCCAAATTAGTGGCAAGTGCCTCTGCCCACTGAGCCATCTCTCTCTCTGAGTTCTGCAAGGAAGGAACAGGGATATAAAGGGAGGTCTCTGACAGCGGGGGTAGTGAAGACTCGGGAAGAATATCATGGGGGGTGGGGAGTTGGGCAAAGCCAGGCACAGACAACAGCAACAGCAACAGCAACAGCCCACTCGGCATGCTGTGCAGCTGCAGCCTTCCGTTTCAAGGTCAACAATCAGAAGGTGTCGGTCCCCTACAATCCAAACAACCACCTGCAGATCATCTTGCGGGCACAGCGGCTGTTTCTCATCACTGACTTTGAAATGGTGGTGGACTTTGACGGAGAACACAATGCAGGTAACTGAGACGGGGACACAGGCAGCAGAAGATCCGTCTCTGAGCCAGGGATGCTAGCTCACACGTTAGTCCCAACCCTTAGGAGCCAGAGGCAGGAGGATCTTCGATGAGTTTGGGACCAACTTGGTCTACATGGTGAATTCCAGGCTATCCAGGGCTTATAGTGAGATACTGTCAAAGAAACCCAATCAAGCCAGGAGGTGGTGGCACACGCCTTTAATCCCAGTAGTCAGGAGGCAGAGGAAGGTGGATCTCCATGAGTTCCAGGACAGCCAGTGTTGTTAAACAGAGAAACCTTGTCTCAAAAAAACAAAACAAAACAAAACAAAATAACAAGGAAAAGAAAGAAACCCAATCAAACCCAAACACTGTAATCTTAGCAGTTGGAAAGCAGATGTAAGAGGATCAGGAATTTGAAGCTAGCCTCACCTACATAGCCGGTTTGAGTCCAGCTTCTCAAAAATGAAAACAGAACAATAAAACCAATAACCACAGAAAATAGGAACCCCGTTTCCAGGATCGAAGATGGAAAGGCACGGCTCAAACAGGCAGCTTGTGGGAAGATGAGTTATACCTGGGAACAGAGCCCCCAGCCTGAGGAGGGGACTTAGATTGTGGTGGGGAGACTTGAGTTTGTGGCTCACCACAGGGCACATGTTTTGTCCTGCAGTGATCTCCCTGCCTACCATGTACCATGGGCTGGTACGGGGCCTGTGTGGAAACTATGACAAGAACCGAGACAACGATTTCATGTTGCCCAATGACATGCTCACCTCAAACCTCAATACCTTTGGCGACAGTTGGGAGGTGAAGGTGGATACCCCCTTCCGATTGCCAAGGTGAGGGCTGGGAATTAGGAAGATGGCTAAGAGTCTATTTCATTGGAGGGGTAGAGGATTGAACCTACAACCTCATGCATGTAATCTGAGCCACACCCCAGCCCCTCACTAGGGGATTCTAGGCAGGTGCTCTACCACTGAGGCACACCCCAGCCCCTCACTGGGGGATTCTAGGCAGGAGCTCTACCACTGAGCCACACCCCAGCCCCTCACTGGGGGATTCTAGGCAGGGGCTCTACCACTGAGCCACACCCCCAGCCCCTCACTGGGGGACTCTCTTCAGGTGCTGTCCCTCTGAGCTGGATATCTCCTATCCAGCAAGTCTCTTTTCCAAGGCCTTCACCTTCTTTCACTCGGTCTCTCACTGCTAGCTGCTCATTGGAAATCCCCATGGTGCCCTTGCTTCGCCTTTCTACAGACTTGTTTTTTTCTCAAGTTCACCTCCCTCCTGAGCCTCACACAACCCCTTACCATCCCTACTTCAGGGCCCTGCCAGAAGAAGACGAAGGAGAGGAAAATCCTGACCTTCTGCTCTCAGAGTGCAGCCCAGAGCAGACAGCGCTCATCAGCAGCACCCAGGCCTGCAGAGTGCTGGTGGACCCCCAGGGCCCGTTTGCTGCCTGCCACCAGATCATAGCCCCAGAGCCCTTCGAGCAGTGAGTCGCAGGCCCATGACTTACAGGAATGCTCCTGATTCCTGCTGTGGTTTTCCTCTGACCCTCCCGCTCTGTGGGCTTGGTTCTCCTCCCTTGTGACTCTGTTTCCTGCTGACCCCCCAGTCTACATCCTGTCTTCCTGCAACCAGTGCCTTATCCCCAAGCTATCCCTCCAGCCTGCCGAATTTCTGTGTGGGGTTCCGGCCCCCTTTCACTAGTTTATTTTTAATCTGTTTTCTTCTGTATTTATTTAGGTCTCGTGTAGCCCAGGCTAATATATACCTAAGGATGACCTTGAATTTCTGATCCTTCTGCCTCCACCTCCCAAGCGCTGGGATTATAGGCATGGACCACACAATGCCTTGCTTCTGTGGTACATGAATACTGAGCAAACACTACCAACTAGGCTGCACCCTTAGCTTTTGTTTATTCATTTGTTTGGGGGGATTTGTAGGGGAGATGGTATATATATATGTTTGTTCAATGTACATTCCACGTATAGGTCAGAGGTCAACTTCAAGCGTCCTTCAGGAGCCATCCACTTTGGTTTTTATCTTTTTTCCTTTCTTTCCTTTTGCGTGAGCATGGATGTGGGTATGTGTTGCTGTGGCACCAGAGTTGAAAATCAGCGGTTCTCTCTCTCTCTCTCTCTCTCTCTCTCTCTCTCTCTCTCTCTCTCTCTCTCTCTCTCTCTCTCTCTCTTTCTTCTTCTTCTACTTCTTCTTCTTCCTCCTTCCTCCTTCCTCCTTCCTCCTTCCTCTTCCTCTTCCTTCGAGGCAGGGTCTCACACCGAACCTGCAGCTCACTAGTTTTTGGCTAACCTCACACCTGAACATCTCCCCAGCTTCCTTCCGCCTTGTTTCCTGAGACAAGGTTTCTAACTTGAACCCAAGACTTACTGATTAGGCTAAGCTGGCTGGCCAGTAAGCCTCAGGGACCGTCCTGTCTCCCCTCACCAGCCCTGGGATTACAAACCCATCACCACACCCTGCTTGTTTTTAACATGGACCCCGGGAAGCAAACAGGTCCTCATTCTTGCAAGGCAAGCACGCTGTCAGCTGAGCCACGTCCCCAGCTCCCAGCCCCTCGCCCGCCCGCCTGGGGCCCATTCCAGCAAGGCTGGGTCCCTCCTCCTCCTCTCTAGCAGCACACCTACTCTCCCTTCCCTCCTACCAGGCACTGTATGTCTGACATGTGCGCTGGATGGAAAACCAAAGAAGAGGAGGAGCTTCGCTGCCGGGTCCTCAGTGGATATGCCATCATTTGCCAGGAGGCCGGTGCCAACATGACTGGCTGGCGGGACCAGACACACTGTGGTGAGGCTCTGCTCCTGCCCAGTGGCTGCTGCTGACTCCTCAGGCATTCTGCCCTCTGCTCAGCTCTGCTGCCGCCACCCCTCACCGTGGCCTCTCAGCCTTGGTTCTTCTAAGTTCAAGGCAGCAAGGGATTCCAGACTGACCCCTCCCCCGCCCACTCCTCCACTGTCCAAGCCCGTCCCCCTCCCCCCTGCCTGTATTTTTTATTGTTGTATTTTCTCTTTCTTTCTTTTTTCTTTTTTTGTATGTGTATATGTGTGTGTCCATGTGTGTTTGGGTGCATGCATGCATATGTGTGGAGACCAGAGACCAGAAGTCATTTATTTACCTTGTTCTTTTGTTTGTTGGGGGGGGGCAGTTACATTTATTTATTGTGTATGTGGGGGTGCACATGTTCCACAGCCTACATGTGGAGGTCAGAAGACAACTTTAGGAGTTGGTTCTCTCCGTCCACCATGTGGGAGGGATCCAGTTCAGGTCATCTTCACCCACTAAGCCGTCTGTCTCACCAGCCCCCACCTTGCTTATTTGAGACAGGGTCTCTTTCTCCTCGGGACCCAAAGCCTGGTAATTAGGTTAGGCTGGCTGCCTAGCAAGCCCCAAGTGTCCTCAGGTCCCCACCTCCTCAGGACTGGGATAACAGGCGCGTGCCACCACACCTGGCTGAGAAGCGACCTCGGGTCCTCATGCTGGAGCAGAAGCACTTTACCTGCCCCAGCTCTCCGTCGGCCAGCACTCCAGGCTTATGTTGTGGGGTGGGGTTTTGGTTGGTTGGTTGGTTGGTTGGTTGGTTGGTTGGTTTCTTTTGGGGTTTTTTGTTTTGTTTTTTTGTTTGTTTGTTTTTGAGACAGGGTCTCTCTGTGTAGCTTTAGAGACTGTCCTGGTATACGAGGCTGGACTCGAACTCACAGAGATCCACCTGGCTCTGCCTCCCAAGTGCTGGGATTAAAGGCGTGAGCCACCACCACCGCCCAGCGTTTTTTTTTTTTTTAGATTTTACTTATTTTTAGTTGATGTATGTGTATGAGTGCTTAGCCTGCATGCGTTCTGTGCATCATGTGCATCCTGGTGCTCACAGAGGCTAGAAGAGGCTGTCAGACCCCCAGATTGGGAGTTAAAGATGGCTGTACACAGTCATGTGGGAGCTAGGAGCAGAGCCAGGGCCCTCTGCAAGTGCCCTAACTGCTGAGCCGTCTCTCCAGCCCCTGAGACAAAATCTTACTCTGTAGCCCAAGCTGGCCTCAAACTCATGGTGATCCTTCTGCCTCAGCTCTTGAGTGCTGGGATTACAAGTTTGTGCTACTATACCCACCCTAGCACTGTTCATTTGTTTTCATCAAACGTCTCGTGTGCCAGACAAAAGTCTTCAGGCAGAACTGGCCTGCTCGCCCTGGCTTCCCTGTCTACAGGGAGCTCTGTGCTCTATTGAATAACCTTATACCCTGCTTTCTGTTTCTCCACCACTAGTCCCTTTATTTGTCTGGCCCCAAGGCCAGCCAGCTCCTAACTATGCTTTTATCCCCTCAGCCATGACATGCCCTGCCAACACTGTGTACCAGCGCTGTATGACGCCCTGCCCAGCATCCTGTGCCAAATTTGTGACCCCCAAGGTCTGTGAAGGCCCCTGTGTGGAGGGCTGTGCCAGTATCCCAGGCTACATCTACAGTGACACCCAGAGCCTCCCTGTGGCACACTGCGGCTGCACTGCCAGTGGCATCTATTACAAGGTCTGGGTGCCGGGGCGGCTGGGATCGGGGTTAGAGAATGAGCTCTAGGATGAGTCTAGACTGTCTCCTGTCTTCGCTTCCTCCCTTCCAGCTGGGTGACAGCTTTGTAACTGACGACTGCTCCCAGCAGTGCACCTGTGCAAGCCAGGGGACCCTGCTGTGTGAGCCCTACGGCTGCAGAGCCCCAGAGTCCTGCACCGTGGCCAACTTCACTCGAGGCTGCTTCCGGGGTGAGCAGGGATCCCCTCGCTCCCTGTCCTCCGCCTGAGTCGGCTTCCTGCTTGCTCTCAGGAAGCCTGCACCCTCCTTGCAAGAGGGCTGAAGGAAAAGGACGATCTCTCTCCCAGCGCTTACTCCAGCCGTGCAGAGCTCTGCCCCAGGGGAGACCAGGATCCTTGTCCATTGGAAAGCACGGCACCCCACTTTATGAGCAATGAACATAGGGTTCCGGCCAAGCATGGAATCCCAGCCACTGGGGAGACAGAGATAGGGGGGCCTCTGTGAGTGTGAGGCCAGCCTGGTCTACATACTAAGTTCCAGGCCAGCCAGGACTACATAGTGAGACCAACACTCTCTGTCTGTCTGTCCGTCTCCCTTTCTGTCTCTCTCTGTGTCTCTGTCTCTCTCTCTCTCTCAAGGGAGGGGTTCCAGGACTGGAAAGACAGCTCAGTTTGTAAAGCACTTCCTGCACAAACCTGAGCTGGATCTCTAAAGCCCATGTTTGAAAAGCCAAGCACAGGTAGAGAGATGGCTTAGTGGGTAAGTGTACTAACTGTTTCTGCAGAGGACCCAGGTTCAGTTCCCAGTACCCACACGGCAGCTCCCAACTGCCTGTAACTCCAGTCTGGCCTCTGAGGGCAGCAGAGACACATGTGGTACACATCCATGCAGCAGGCACTCACGCATACACATAAAATGGATCTCTGCGGCTGTCCGGCTTTCAGCCTAGACTAAGCACTCAGCTCCGGCCTTATAGGAGACCCTGTCTCTAAAAAGAATGAAGTAGATGGCACCTGAGGAAAGACCCTTGGCGTTGACCTCTGGACCTTCACACACGCATGCACACACATGCAAACACACACACACACGAAGAAAGCAAATGGGGTTCTGGGGGGCTAAACACATTCCCTAAGCCCAGGGTAGCAGGCTTGAAGCTTAGATTGCTGAGTGGACCCAGGTCAGGCTCGGTGTCTGCTGCTTTCTCCCCTGGGGCCTGTCCCACAGCCAGGCATCCCCTGCACTGTGAATGTCCTCTGGGGACCCACTCGCAGCCTTCTGCCCTTGCAGATAGCCCGTGTCTACAGAACCCCTGTCACAACGATGGCCGGTGTCAGGAGCAGGGGGCCACCTTCATCTGCCACTGTGACCCTGGTTATGGAGGAGCACTGTGCACGGAACCTCGGGATATCCCACCCAGAAAAAAGCTAGGTAACAGCCACATCCCAGGCCTGTCCTACTGGCCATTGCTGCAGAATTACTCTGTTTTTAATTTTCATATACATTATATTATCTATTATATATCACAGATATGTGATAAGGGTGACATTGATAGTTATACTATACAATACTATTAATCTATTACAAGATATTATATATAGTCTAAGTAGTATATCATAGGCAATATTGTGCATTATATACTATAGATTATATATAAAATACACAGTTATATATCACATATATAGTTTATGGTTCTATATAAATATTTTGGTTGCACTGTATAATATGTTAATATATGTTAAATGTATAATATATAAATTATGTTATATATTTTAGATAACATCAGTTATATACTATCAAATAATATAATTTATATAATATTATAGTATATATATTTGAGGGGTTATATTTATTTGTTGTGGTGGGGTGAATGTGTGGGTATCAGAGGACAACTCAAGGGAGTCATCTATCTCCTTTTGCTGTGTGAAACCCTGGAATCCAACTCAGGTCTTCCAGGCCTGGTGCCAGGCACCTTAACCTACCCAGATGTCTTTTTTTTTTTTTTTTTTGGTTTTTT